CACTATGACACACGTGGAGATCCAAGAATAACTTTGAGAGAGTCTTTAGTTCTCTCTACCTGGATGTAGGTTCTGTGGCTCGAATTCGGGCCATTAGGCTTGGTGGCGAGTGTCCCTGCCCACTGAGCCACTTTGCCAGCTCCTGTTTTGTTCTTTTCTGGTTATGTCAGCTAGGCAGATAGCCTGCTCTGGCCTTGGCCGAAGACAAGTCTCTGCAGCTCCCTTTTCATCTAAGCCCACAGGGACTCTGAGGGGCTGTGTGATGCGCTGAGTGAGAATCCTCTGCATGGCAAACAGTTATTTCTTCCTGGCTGCTCTGGCAGAGGGGCCAGGTTCTCTTTCCAGCACTCACTGGTGGCTCATCTGCAACTTCAATTCTAATCTCTGTGGGCACCAAGAATGCATATGGTACGCATACATGAATGCAAGCAAGACACTCACACACATCAAATCTTTGAATAAATAAATAAAAGACACTACTTGCCTGTTTAGTTTGGTAGACTAGTGACTTGATTTAAGGAATGTTCTAGAAGTCAGCACCCTGTAGCTCTGAGGGCCACCACAGTACAAGTGCTCCCTTCAAGAACTAGGTAGTAGCTACTTGCAGACAGCCACCTCCCCGATGCTTACTTTGAGCAACTCCCAGTGCTGTCTTTCCCTCTGCCAGTCACAAACTCCAGAGCAGGACCCAGTTCCAGCCAGTGAACTACGGGAAAGCACAGAGGCCCCTGGAAAGGGTGCTCTCGCTCTCTCTCGCGCTCTCTCTCCCTCCCTCCCTTCCTCCCTCCATCCCTCCCTCCATCCCTCCCTTCCTCCCTCCAGAGTGGAATCAGGAGCTACTGCCTGGGCCCCAATCAGAGAGCGAAACCAACATGAAGGATGGCAGACAGGACAAGGTCCCGGTCCTTGAAGACATGAGTGAGCTGATAAACTAAACAATCCCAAGCCTGTCTTACCTAAGCAGACTCATGTAAGGAAGAAGCCTACTGTGTGTCAGACCTGTTAGATACCTCCAAAAGCACTGTCGCTGAGTCAGTCTCTTGGAAGGCTGGAAGTGCATGTGGAGAAGGGACCCTCTAAATCAGTGGTAATCAACCTTCCTGAGCTGTGACCCTGTAATACAGTTCCTCATCTTGTGGTAACCCCCAACCATAAAATCATTTTCATCGCTACTTCATAACTATAATTTTGTTACTGTTATGAATCATAATGTAAATATCTGTGTTTTCTAATAGTCTTAGGCAACTCCTGTAAAAAGGTCATTCGATCCCTAAAGGGTCATGACCCACAGATTGAGAAACACTGCCCTCAAGGGACACTGTCTCCCCACTAAGGAATTCCCAGTTTCTCATTTGGAACAGAAAATTGGCTGAGGGCTGTGAAGACACCCGAGGACACACAGGGAATGATAGAGGGCAGGAAGGACCTCCTAGCTGGTGCCCACTGGACCACAGCTCACCAGCAACCCACATCTTACACCACTACCCAAGGTTCCCACACCCCCTGCACCATCACCCCACACTTGAGTCAGCTCTGTTGGGGCCACTGGTGGGGAGTCCACATTCAGACTCCAATCAATGGTTGTGCTAGTGAGCAAGGGGCAAGCTGACATAGTACTTCCTCGAATTTTTGTACTGAAATAATATCTTTGAAGGAAAATATCAAAGTCCCTTGGACTATAATCAAGGCGGTTGCTGATTATGAGCAATTGCCATAGTTTAGGGGCAGGTTTTTCTCAGATTGAAAGTAATTTGTCGAAAGTTTTATTTCTAGGTCAAAAGAACAGGGTAGACACCCAAGATGAGGTAAGGAAAACTGGGCTCCTTCCTTGTGCTTTGGAACCTATAAACTCACAGCTATCTCTGCAGTATGGGTTGGGAATGGGCCCATGGGTATTTATTGCTCCAGTTCCCAGGCTGCCTGGAGAGTTCCTATCCCTGAAGAGATTGAACCCTGAAGTGTCTTCAGTGAGTCCATGTCTTGTCCATGGCCCTCTGGCTCAAGTGATCTATTTTCCCTTTGCCCACCTGGAAGCCCCTCCATGTATAACCACTGAGTTCACAACTGTGCCAAGCCTAATTTATTCCAGGTGAGGGGAGACAGCAGCGAAGAAGTCCCCGAGAGACCCCGGGAAGTAGCTGTTTAACAATGTACTATAATAGTTGTGTGGTGGTGGTGCACTCCTTTAATCCCAGCACCCAGGAAAAGAGGTAGGCTGATCTTTATGAGTTTGAGGCCAGCCTGGTCTACAAAGTGAGTTCCAGAATAGCCAGGGCTACACAGAGAGACCCTGTCTCAACTTTTTAAAAAAGCAAACAAAGAAAGAGAGAGAGAATGCAGAAGAGCCTTAGGTGGTGTGAACCTCCAAATAAGACCCCAGCCAGTGGAAGTGGGTACTACATGGGTACAGAATGGTTTCACTGAAGAGGGGAAATTCTTTTTCAGATGTGCACACTGATGCTGGGACAGACACTGTGACAAGAGACTGCTTATTTGTTTCCCAGCCACCCAGACCGGAATAATCACACAGAAACTAAATTAAAACACTGCTTGGCCTATTAGCTCAGGCTTCTTGTTAGCTAGCTCTTACATCTTAAATTAACCCATTCCTATTATTTGGTATTTTACCACGAGACTCATAGTTTACAGGCTCCAGGGCATCTGTCTCCATCAGCAGCTACATGATATCTCCTTGACTCCATCTACTTCCTCTCTATATCTGTTTGGATTTCCCACCTGGCTTTATTCTGCCCTGCCATAGGCCCGAAACAGCTTCTTTAGTAACCACCGGTAATAAAACATATTCACAACATACAGAGGGGAATCCCACATCAGGAAACCTTAGTGAAGCAATAAAGTAGCCATGCAAATACCTAGAGAAGAATGGCAAAACCCAGGTTTGGAGACTTGTGGCTGGAAGGCTGTCTGAAGGCGGGGAGAGCCAGGTCAGGTCTTCAGGGTCTTGTGGGCTGTGTAGAGCCAGCTTGCTTTTGTTGTGTAAGATCCAAGCCCCAAGAGAGTTTGGAACAGAAAGACATGGGCTGACTCAGGTAAAGAGAGCCACTGTAGGTACTGTAGCCATGTAGACTCCCAAGACACAGTAGCTATTCTGTAAGAGCTGAGGGCAGGGACCTGAACAGAGAGAGTGTTAAGATGTGTGGGTAAACAGCCAGACAGTGGTGTTGCACACCCTTAATCCCAACACTCAGGAGGTGGATCTCTGTGAGTTCCAGGACAGCCAGGACTACACAGTGAAACCCTGTCTAAAAAAAAAAAAAGTGTAAATAAACAAACATGCTAGAAGCAAGAGCTCCTTGTGTGGGTAAGGCTCACACTCCACAAGGGCAGGGCACAGGGCTGAGCAGTGTGAGGGAAGCCTAGTAGACTGTGTAATAGGTAAAGCACCTGTTTCACTTCAGTGCCACCATCCGGGGACTGGAGAGGGCACAAGGCAGCTCGGCCCCAAATTAGGCAGGAGCCAGAGTGGACCTAACAATCAACAGGCTCAAATCAAGCAAATCCCATGGCATGCCAGTCCCTACAATGCCACCACCACTCAAGCTGGTGGTGCGCCTCTTTAATCCTAGTTCTCAGGAGGCAGAGGCAGCAGAGTTCTATGAGTTCAAGGCCACCCTGGTCTGAGTTCCACGACAGACAGGCCTACACAGAAGATTACTGTGGGAATGTTGGAGGCTTCCAAGAAGAGCTACAAACTGGAGAGGCAGATAAGACCAACCGAAGATACTGGGGATCTGGAGCAGCACGGTCCTCTCTAGCTCCCTGTGAGCCACGCCTCCTCCAAGCCACACCTGACACTCCTCGCTGCTATCCACAGAATAAAGCTTTGCCTGGCATCTCACCTGGCTCTACACATCTCCAGCAGGCAGTTGTGTTCAACAGACTGTGATTACATACATTAGTGTCTGTTCACTTATGCTATCGGCCCTGCCAAAATGTCCCTTCCCTTCTCCAGACTTACATTTTGTTCGTATTTATTTGCATTGCTGGGATGGAACCAGTGCCTCACAGAAGCTAGGTTACCAAGGGCTCACACTGATCTGCATCCCCAGCCAGAGCTCTGCTTCTTAAACTTTTGCCTACTCCTCTAAGGCCACCTCTAGGCCAGGCATGGTGGTACACGCCTTTAATCCCAGTACCTGGGAGGCAGAGGCCAGTCTGGTCTATATTCTCCAGAATCCCTATACTAAAGAATTCTCCCACCACCCATCACTTTCAGCTTGGGTAAACTGCTGGCCATGTTGGACTGAATTAGGCTCTCTCCTTGGCCTGGTGATTTCTAGGGGTGACTTTTTCATTTGCATATATGTTTTAGTGGGATGGCAAACTGTGTGGTCACCCCTCATCATCCCGCCCCTCTCCCCTCTCCACCCAACTGCAGCCCTTTGGGCAGGAGCCATGCCTTGTTCCTTATCTTGTCAGAACTTCACACCGCACTCCAGCACACTCAGATAGGTCACTCATTCATGCCGATAACGGGGGATGTGGGACAGAGAACCACGTGAGCAAAACAGCCGACCGATGGGTCCCTGCTCTCCTGATTCATGGGAGCGAGCGAAGAAAGGAGGCATGAAAACATCACTGCAGAGTTACATGTGATAAAGAGAATATCCCCAAGGTGGGTGTAGGAAAGGTTTTCAAAGAGAGGGTATTTGAGATTTGAATAAATTGAAGGAACCAGGCCCATATCTGAAGAAAAATTCCAGAAAGAGGGAAAAGCTAGTGCAAAATCCTGAAGCTGGACACTTCCGAAGCTTCTCAGGAGTAACAAGGTGTGTGTGTGTGTGTGTGTGTGTGTGTGTGTGTGTGTGTGTGTGCGTGTGTTGGGGGAAGCAGGAGAAACCAATGAACTTAGGGAGGTGGTGGAGAGGCCACAAGGGTTGGCAAAGGCAGGGCTTGGGCAGCTGTGATAAGGGCTGGGAGATTCCTGTGTTTGCCTGTTCGTGAATAGAAGCTTTTAGACGAGGGAACAACATGGTTTAATTTCCCCAGATCAAAAAGTTTTTATTCTTTATCATCACATTGCAGATAAAGTGCCACAAACCCTCTTCTGACTACACAAAGTAACCTAGGAACATTTCTCCATCTGGAAACAAAAATGTTTGTTACAATATGGTCTGCAGGGCTCAGAAGATGCTGGGTTCCAGGTTCCTTCTGGGGTTATTCTCACAGAACACAGCAACAATGCCCAGCATTAAGTTCTACACAATTACCAGATTCAAACTCTACGGCACCAAGCCACAACTCGATAACAACCGTGAATAGTCACAAATGTCCAAGTGGCACAGAGCAGTTACAGAGGCGTCCTCAACGAAACACAAGCAGGCCTGTACAGCTTAGTCGTCCAGTAAAAGCAGAGGAGGTGCATGGGTCTTACTCAAAAGGTGCAAAATGAAGAACACATTAACTTTCTGCCCATACAAGCTCATAACTGGACCAGAAAACACCCAAAAAGTGACAGTATTATGTTTCTCTTCTAATTTACAAAATATATTGGTGAATCAAAGGAGAGAAAGGAAAAAAAGGAAGAAAGGAAGGCAGGCAGGCAGGGTGCAAGCTAGCAAAGACTGAGGGTTCTCTATCCCCATTATTTTCTGTCTCCAAGTCCTAGGGAGCAGAAAGGAAGGCCTTTCGTGAGACAGAGACAACCTGGGGGGCAGGGCAGTTTAGCCTCTTTTATCTATAAACCCACAAGGGGTGGGGGAGGCAAAGAAGGAAGAGACACCAAAGTTTCTTTAAAAGAACGCAGTGTAAAATGAAGTGATTAGCTGTCCTGCCCCAGCCCTGCACTGTACTGTGACTGTTCTAAGTTTTGCAAGGGCAAGAGGGCAGAGAGCACTGGTAATTCATAAGACAGGGCCCCCTCTCTGGAGACAGGCGGATTCAACAAAGTGTCTCCTTAGCTATGTGGACAATTCTTCTTCAGTTATTCATTTCAGAGATGGCCTATTAAAACCATGTGAGACCCATGCCAGTGTAAAAAGCCACAGGGCCAGAAAGCCCCTCTCCAGCACCTACAACCTAGCAGCTTAAAAACAGGTAGGTGAAGGAGAAACTGACAAAGGGTCTGACTTCTGTGTAGGTCTAGAAGTGAGGCTTCAGGTAGGAAGGCTCCTACCTTGAGCACATGCCCAGATATGCCCAGCTATGCCAGCCCGGTGCAGTCTCTGGAATTAGGAGCTCTCGCTATATTAACAAGGGGCCCTTAGGGACCTGAGAGCGAGCAGCAGGGATGATGGTGGGATAGGCAAAGCTCCTCAGAAAGGCTATGGCCGGGCATGGGTGGGGCACAGCGTGGGTTTTCACAAGCCAACAGCTGTCTATGAGAGGGACACACGTAGGATATGAAGAACAGTACTGATCACGACGATGTGCCGGCCATTGCTTCAGGCCCTGGGCCTCAGCCATGTCTGATCATCTGGCTGCCCAGGTTGCAGATGCCCAACAATCCAGAGGATAGGAACTGCTCTGTGGTCCTGGAGCCATGGGCTATCCAAGTCTGGTTGACTGCCAGGACCACATGTGCTTCCTCTTAGGTGATGAGCTTCAGCTTGGGACCGTCGGCACAGCTGTGAAGCCCAGCATACTGTAGCTTTGAAGCACTAGGCCTCAAACAGTGAAGCCCTGTAGGTAATGGTGTCACGTGAGTAGAAAGGCCATGTTTTACAGGTGGATCCAGGCCACACAACCGGATGGTAGTACAAGTCCATAGAGTTGGGTGCCCACTATAAGTGCAGTGGCATATGAGATCACACAATGTCACAACCTTGGCCCTGAGTCCACCAAACACGTTGAAGAGCCAGAATTCACAGGAGAGGAAGCAAACAGCAGCGCTCTGGCATGGACATAGGTAGGTTCACCGGCAGAGGAGTAGTCCTACGTAGGCGCCATGTACTGGAGCAGGACTTAGCCAGACTGGAACCCATAGGGCCTATGCAGAGCCTCTGGTGACCACCTTGCAAAGCCTGGTCTAGCTCTGCAGGGCCTTTGCCCCAGTAAGTAGTACTGCAAAGGGTTGGGCCACAGGTCATCTTTAATGATCTGGGCCACCCTGTCAGTTTCTACAAGGCTATGCTGTGAAAACCAGCTGAAGAAGCTTCGCATGGTGTCGCGGTTCCTGTGCACTAAGGCCGGGGGTTCCTGGCCTCGGTGCCAGCGGATGCGAGTAGCCTTGGACACCACCCGGCCTGAAGGTCTACACTCATACTCCTTCACTATCGTCTCATTTTGGAAGTAGGGGTTGCTCCCAAACAGGAACTTGAACTTGCAACCTGTTCTGGTGTGTCTGAGCTCCCTCACCTCCAAATTTATCAGATAGCCAAGCATGTCTTCATCCCTAGGGCTGATCATGGTTGAAAGCTGTGGGTGGTTCAGAAAAGCAGTGATCCAAAAGCCTGGAATGTTTTGGATGATGAAGCTCCGGCGGGCTAGATGCAAACGGCGCATCCTCCCAAACCTGCGCTCCAGCGGAAGGTAGGCCCCGGCCCCGTCAGCCTGGGCACTCATGACCTCCAACTCCCATTGGATGGCCTCCAGCGGGTCTACGATAAGGGCCCCTAGGTCCAGAATCCCCAAGCTCGCCTGGGCCTCAGCAACGCACTCCAGCTTTTCCCCCACCTCCACAGGCTTCTCCGCGGCTACGGTGGCCTCCTCAGTCGTCACTTCCTGGGCCTTCCCTCCGGTCCCCACCTGAGTCCCCCATCCTTGCATACAGCCCTCCGGGTTCAGGACGCTGGACGTGGGGGCCTCTCCAGTGTTTTCTGGGGCAGGCAGTGTGGTCCCGGGGCTGGCTGTGGGGTCGGAAGACCCGTGTGCCCCAGCTCCGGGGACGCTGGACGCCGGGACGAGGCGCACATCCTGCTCTTGCCCAGGCGGTGGGTGCACGGCCAGCTCCAGAACCCCAATTCCCTGGCCCGCCATCTCCTGCTGAATCTCTGGATGGAGAGGTCCGGAAAGCACTGGCAGGACTGTGGTGTTGTTGCCGCAGTAGGACGCTGGTGGCAGGCGGGGTCTCTTCTCTGGGGTGAGCTCCGCCCCTTGCCCCCCCCCCCTTTGCCGGATGTGACTTGCTAGGTTCCCTCCACTGCTGGGGACGGGGAAGACCACCCATGACAAACAGAACTGGTTCCAGGTTAGCAGGGCAGGTGTGGACTAGGCAAAAGGGCAACTGGAGCAGCATCCGGGGACAGGCTCAATCCTCAAACATGGTTATAACCTTCCACCGCGCAGGGGAGGACTGTTTCCCTTGCCTGGTTCTTTGCAGCTTTAGAGCAGGCAGCTAGGACATTTGCAGCCTTGCACAGGATATATTATATTGGCACAGGCAGAGGGCTGACCAGATTCAAACTGGAAAGTAAAGACAAGCATAACTGTCTGGCAATCAAGCTGCTGGAAAAGAAGGTACTAGAAGGATCAGGCCAGCAAAGATCTTAAATTGCTGCAAACCAGGAAGCAATTGTCGCTAGCCTGGTTCCCACAGGAGCTAGATCCTCTTGGTTATTGCTGTTGAAATCAAGTGGTCCTTACTTCACATGGCTCAGGCTCCAGACTGCCCCTTTGCTCAGTGGCAGCCATTTCAGAGGAGAATTTTAAAGGGTACGTACGTGCTGGACAGTGGTGGCCCAAGCTTTTAACCCCTACAGGGGAGAGGTAGGTGACTCTGAGTTTGAGGCCAGCCTGGTCCAGGACAGCTAGGGCTACACAGAGAAAGCCTGTCTCAAAAATCCAAGGTGGCAGTGATGTCCCGGGTGTAGGGAGGGGTGGAATTCTATGTACAAATTGAGGTCTTGACTCAAAACAACAAAAAAGGGCCAAACAAGGTGACAGAGCACTCAGAGGCAGAGGCAGTGGGATCTGAGTTTGAGGCCACACTGGTCTATATGCTGAGTTACTTGGGGCTACGTAAGACTGTGATAGCTAATCTTGATCAAGTTGACACACCTGGGAAGAGACCTTCACTCGAGGAACTGCCTCCATCATACTGGTCTGTGGCATATCTGCCGAACACTTTCTTGATTGCTAATAGATGAGGAGAACACAGCCCATCATGGGTGGTACCATCTCTGACTGCGGGGAGCGGAGGAAGCCTTGCCAGTGTGTATTACTTGTAAGGATCAATGCCTCAGACCCACAGGAACTAGCAAAGCCTTCGTCTGGTCCTGTGGGAATGCTGATTAAGTTCAGAAAGCTTGAGACCTGAGACTGTTCGCCCACAGAGACCTTCTACCAAGACTAGCTAACCCTTCCTTCCTGGGCCGAACATAATAAAATCATGGAGGTTCCAACTGCTACGTAGTTGGTTTGGCTCCATAAGAGGGAACACCAAACTAATCCCAGCTTTTCATACATGTTTGTTTCGTTCTTATTCCCTCATCTCAGTCTTCCGGGGAACCCATTTCCAGGACCAACTCATGCATGGTCTCTCAGTTCCTGCCCTGTTTGAGTTCTTACTCTAACTTCCCTAATGATGGACTGTAACCTATGTGATGAAATAAACCCTCTCATCCCCAAGCTAGTTTTGGTCACTGTTTTATCAAAGCAACAGGAAGAAACTTGGATAGGGACCTGGTCATAAAAAAAAAAAAAAAAAAAAAAAAGGACTCAATGCAGGGGCTGTGTCTGGACAGACTAAGAGCCTAGATGGAACTGCCCTTGCACTCCACAATCCTTCAAGTGTGGCTGCATTCCTGTGATCTCAGCTCCCAAACTACGGAGGTCAGCATACTGAACGCCTCCATATCTCTGCCTAGATGTCACCACAATATCCTCCAGAAAGCCTTCAGCCACATCCAGAGGACACTACAGCTCTATCTGAACCCCCTAGACCAGTGGTTTTTCCACCTTCCTAATTCTGCAACCCTTTAATACATACAGTTCCTCATGTTGTAGTAACCCCCAACCATAAAATTATTTTTGTTGCTACTTCATAACTAATTTTGCTACTATATGCATATTAATGTAAATATCTGATATATAACTCCTGTGAAAGGGTTGTTCAACCCACAGGTTGAGAACCACTGCCCTTGACATCTCCTAGACTGAATCTCTTGGGGTCCTAGCTGGAGTTCTGACCACTGGGGTAGGCAGGATACTTGTCAAAGGAGAGGCTAAAATAAGGAATCTGTCCTCTGTCTTTGTGTGCCAAATCACCTGCACATTGCTGCTTCTTGTCCTCATAGCCTCTTGGACTACACTCCGAGTGACTGCCTTTGGACACTGTTTCCAATCCCCTAGATGAGAAGATCTCAGTGCAAGGGGTGGGGCCTGGGAGGGCAATGACAATCTGTTAAGAAACAGGCCAAGTAATAGTGTCGGGTGAGCCCACATCAGCCTGGAAGCACTATCTAAACAGTGTTTGAGCACAGACGTGTAAAGCTGGGTCCTAGCTGTTAAAACATGTGCACCTTAGGGAGCCTAAAAAGGGTTCTCTTCCTTTCAGAACTTCATGAAGACATCTAAAATCACCGTCCACTCCAAGATACCAAAGGTGAGTCTTTCTAGGGCCTGAGGACAATCAGCTGCACAAAAGTGGGCCAGAGAATTAGTAATGATGAGATTGAACACATTTGAGCCTCTGCATCAAAACAATTGTGCAGACTGAACTACTTCTGACATTTTCAGTTATGAAACACTTCAGTGTTTAAAGCCCATTTGATCTGGGTTTTCTGATCCTCAAGTCCAATGAAGACAATGAAGCCACTTACCTCAAAGACATTCAGTTAAGATCCACTGTTTGCCCTGCCCTCACCAGCATTACCCTGGATGCTAAAGAAGCCTGCAGGTTCCCATTCTTCACAATTTCAGGCTCACTCCAACCCTTCCCCAATAAACAGGCTCAAAACTGCAAAGCACATCATTCAGAAGTTTTTAATAAACAACTTCATTATAAAAACTTTTTTTGAAAATTAATTCTGTAAAACATTGAAAAATCTACTTTAACAAAGATATGCCCTGTGCATTTTCTAATGGCACTTATATTTTACAATTAAAAACCTTGTTTTATATAAAGCCAAAAATACTCCAAGAGGTTATTCACTGTGTTTACAAAGTGCTAGAAGGTTTTTGTCTTGTAATTTTCTTTCTTTAAATAATCTGGCATTAAGAAAGAGTGGCTCCAAAGCTTCAACCAACTGGGAGTAAGAGAAGGGTGTGAAGTAGTGTTCAGGAATTCTAGTGCCGGACACGCAGAGGTTGCGCATGGGAGAACTGGCAGATGACACAGGCAACACCTGAAGCAAGTTGGTAGGAACCACTCCACACAGTCCAAGATTACACCATGAACACCCTTTCCACACCACAAACCCCACTCTCCAGTGGTGAAAGTCACAGCCACTTCCTTCCACAGCAGGTTCAGAGCTCCAGGAGAGGCCAGGGTGAGGTCCCAGAGAAATCTGGACTTTTCTGGCCAACACCTGCCTAAGGCAAAGTTTCTTATTACATAAATATCCTTGTTAAAAAGCAAAATATTGATCCTGTATAATACAACCTGTTTTTTTTTTTTTGCTTTTTTTTTGTTTTTTTGTTTTTTAAATCGTGGAGAAGGGGTAGGGAAAATAGCTACCAAAAAGGGAAGGGAAAACTTAAAGGCTACTAAGGGAGGTTTAGGGAGATTTCAACTTATGACAATATCTACGAACAAAAAAGCAATCACACCTGCTTCCCCAGATTTGCATTAACAAAAACACCACATAAAGTCGGGGAGAGACACACTGGCGCACCCTTCCCTGCCTCCCACCTGTTTAAGATGGTGCTAGGATCCTCTGAGCCGACACCTGGGCATGCTAGTCCCTAGCCCCAGGACAGTCCTCAACTCTGACAGCCTGTTCAGGCTGAGGGGCGCTTGTCCCCTGTGCAGTGCATTGCTGACAGGCTAGAGTATGTGGCAAGGAAAGGGGACATCATTCTTTTCTGGTCCCTGATTGGTCTGTGCCACACACACACCATGGCTCCTGTCCTGGGCAGATGCCCCTCTGGCTCTCTTGGCCTCATAAGGGGTACTTAAATGAGTTTGGGCACCGAGTACAGAGCAAATTATTTTCATCCTTTTAACAACTGGCCAAAAAGGCTCTTTTGGGTGGTAGGTTGGGGAAAGAGTTAAGAAACTGCAGGGTGGTTTGTGGTCCGAAAGAGTGAAGGCAGATAACCAGCGTTCACAGTGATATGAAATTTCCTTAGGTAAGGACACTGAGAAAAGCTGAAAAACAGAAAGGATGGATGAGGAAAGGCAAAGAGAAAAGACTGGAGGTGGGAGCAAGGCCCCAGCTACAAGATTTACAATAGGTGCTCTGCTGTCCTATGAGCACCAAGGGAGGACAAGCTCAGGAGAACAGATCTCCTCAAACAGCCCAGTGCACTATACTGTGTGGCTGGAGGCTACTGGCTTCTGAAAACGATAGGGAGGTGGCAGGCAAAGGGAGAAAGGGGCCTGGGTCTAGTGAAGACCAAACACAAGGAAAATGGCAGCAGTGAGTTCCACTTGGATTCTCACATGCCATTTCCTGTAATACGAGTCCCAACAACATGCATAGCATGCAGGAGATGGTTGCGTACCAAGGTAGACGCTTTTAAAAATAAACCTTAATTAGTCCCTGGGACTCACTGAAACTAATCTTTAGAAGCAAATCACCTAGTCTGATTCCAATCCTGTCAGACGTAGTTATATCCAGTTTTTTTTTTTTTTTAAAAAAAAGGTATTCCAAGCTACCTTGCTTAAATCAAAACATCTTATTCACTCCACATTGCTTCCAAACAAGGGCCAGGGAGTTAAATCTGAAGGTTTTCACCTCAAACAAGGAGTACTGGCCTGGGCTGAAGCAGGAGTCCAGGTCTTGGACCTGCACAGTTCCCAATGATAAACTGAAGTGAATCTAGACAGAAGGGAGGGGACAGGGAAGAACTGGTGGGAGATTGAGGCAGTTCCTAGGTAGTCTGTCCTGAAACCCTAGTGGAGGAGCCAGCAAAAGGCACCACTAACAGAAGTGCCCAGGCTGCTGGCTACATCTGTAAGAGTTAACAGTAAAGAGG